CGGAGAAAACACGTTACCGCCGTCCGGACTTTCACCAAGGAACTCCCACATACGATAAGTTCCCTTTTTTGACTTGCTCCCATTTCGCATTGTATTTATTTTTATACGCGTTGCAACCCTCCACTGTCCATCATACTAAAAACTTCTATTAGGCTACATACACCTTCTGATTTGTATTATGGCTATCACCACCTGTGCAGTAATACCCGTTCACACGTTGCATGTGGAGGGAGATGGGGATATCTTCCCTAGATATTCATGTGTGCATATTGTGTCCTACAGAGAATGCGTTTATTACTTTACATTTCTAGGAACAAAACCGCGTTAACTGAAGAAACCACCCACTTTATACGTGAATTACTACTTAAAAGGAGAGAATTTTATAGGCTGCTCAAATGCTCAGGTGTCTGGTCATTCGATGTCCATTGGGGATTAAGCGTGAGCCGCATAACCGACAGCGTCAGCCCACTGACATCTTTCCCGAGATCCAAAACCTCATTTGTGTTGCATTTCACAACGAGCTACTTGAGTAATTTCAGTGCAGTGGATAATATCTGAGAGCACCCGTTTACTGATAAATAATCGCGGCTATTGTGATCAGTGCATGCTCTGTTTTGAACGTGTGCGTCGAATATTCACCAACCACATGTCTTTATATCTGGATTGGACTGTGACTTTGTTAGACGGAACTCCACACGGATCCCTCTTTACCGCTCACACTCAGGTGCTCCTACGGCCGAGAAGTCCATCCCACGCAAGACTGGCCAAGAATTCGGGACACTTGCCGGTCCGACATAAAGATGAGATCTGATTGGTCGAAAGTCTGAACCCAACAACCAATCATGACCCAGTATTGGTCGAATGCCGGTTGCCAATGGCGCATCCGGAACGCGTCACTGCCGTCTAGACTATATATGAAGCGCTGTGCAAGTGTTGCTGACTTCATTTTGGGCGCTAATATACCTTGTGTACCTTTGGTGGTTGTTTTGACGTGAACGCTAGCTTGGGAGGCTCAGACCGAGAAGTAAGCTGAGAAAAATACCGTTACTACAGACTTACGCTGCCTCTTCCTGTGCGGTCACTCTATATCACTACAGGGGGAAGCATTCATCAGTTCGCCTGAGCCATTCTCCCAAGCGCAGGAACACATACTGAGGATTCTTTGTTTGCCAGTAATTTGAACACCACATGCAGAAAACGGGAATTGGTGAGTGTACCCAATTCTATCAGCTGATCAGATTTACAGAAAATGTACTTTTGTAGGGAAAACTTTAGTCACATGCTTAAAGACTGCTCAAACACATGGTGATGATGGTCAAGCTAAGTCCAGGTTGATCTGGGCATGAGGAAGATTTCGGTCGACAGGGTTACGGCCAAGGTCACTATAGTCATCCGTGAATATCATCCATCTGACAGCCCACCGCTTACGACTTTTACAAGTCAAATATTGGTGTGATTCACTAAAGGATATTACATTGTCGGCGGCAATGTACCAATGAGAAATACCGCGATTCAACGAACGCAGAAGCACGGCATCAGTCAGCCACATCACCAAGTCATGCTCTAAAGGATAAAGTTCCTGAAAGAATCAAACGGCTGAGCAGAGAACGAGGTCGGTGGAAATTCGAGAACCAAGCCTTCCTGATTAGTAAAAAACGCAAAGTCGGTCCTAAATGTTATTAGTAGTACTTAGGAAGTCTCTCGCTTCTGCGCAGCAAAAAATATTAAGAACAAGAACAACAACTAGGTAATAGCCAAGCCTTCTGGCTAGGAAGTGGCCCCACGTTTGGCTGGATTGCGTTCCACATCCTGGAAGATCCTCCAGCTGGGTTACGGAGGGAAATCGTGGACACGATTTAGGGAGTTGGGGCGGATCCCACTGCAGTCGTTAACACTATAGCGAGGATAAACACAATCTTACCCGGCACACGATCAACTCAGACGTCGGTGCTTTGAAAAGACCTTTCTGATTAACCGTCGTCGGATGAAACACGTCGACGGTAGAAAGGTCGACGAGGATTCGCATATAACGAGAAGTCTGAAAAAGAAACCATTGTTGACAGAGCGGGGAGCGAGTTTTACGTGTACAAACAGTAACAGCGCTATTAAATAACAGTCTACTCTAACGGATTCAGAAACTAACGCAAAGGGAAGGAGCAGTTGTCTACTGACAAATCACCAACACTTGAGTTGAGAGCTGTGTGAGAGCTTGTAAGCGCTCGAGGATTCCAACGCTAAGCGTTAAAAACAAAATGTTTGACTACTTGTCAGTAGTAGCTTTAATATCCGAAAGTGAATGTCAGCAAATGGGACTACGGTCTTCCACCGTCGCCGAGAGTGAGAGGAAAAAGCGCATCGTCTGCGTTCGGCCAACCGTATTTGCGAAATGGTAACTTGGTTTCGACACTCGAAGCCTTTTAATCGAAGAAGGATTATTGGTATAACCGGTTCGTGCACGGCACTGGAACGTAGCTTCTCCATATGTACACTAATTAGTGTTTAGGGCCTTGGGTGATTCTGGTATTGTTGTTGTTGACGCATTTCCCAACATCCACTTATCCCCGTTCAATGCATGGTACACATCAGTAGTAGCCAAATAACTAGAAAATCTGAGAGCAATCAAAGCAACTTTCGTAGAGGCACACGTAGACTGTCGGTGATAGATTGACATAGCGACCAGTTCGACCAAAATTCAGTTGTGGAAAAAAAACACGCAGCCGTTTAGTTAACGCCAATACTCCGCAATTAACTGGTTTGGCATCAATGTCTTTGGTGATTTGCCGTCCTGAGCCGTTGTCTTTATGCTGGAGATGCGAAAATTTTTTACCAGCTGCGTAAAATTCCATTCTAACTGAACGGTTCGTTGACAATAAAAACGCTAATATATGACTTACAACAGCTCGCTTCTTCAAGCTGTAGAAGACGGAGGATCCATGAAGGAAACAAAACATCTTTTGCCAAGGTTTTTTCGGTGTGCGGAACCAGAGTATGCCAGAAGTCACGTAAGAGGCTACATCCCGACGCATATTGGAGGCGTTTCTGAGTTGTTCACGACTGGTGGTAACCAAGCCCATCTGTGGTGAAAACATGTGAATAGAAGAGAAATACGATTGAATCTATCATGAAAATGCTGAATATCCTGGTTCGGCGCTCCCGATTGATCCGGATCGTACCCCGGAGACTCCGCGCTCAATGGCTGAAGGTGTTGGTTTCGCTCGGCGTGTATCGATCAATTTCCCACAAAGTGGTTCTGATCGTAAGCAGTGCTGTAAACTATCCTCTTGTGAGCTAAGCTAATATCTTGATAGGCACAGAAATATGCTAAAGATGCCCTGACTTCCCGGATATGATTTCGTCTTAGTACACACCCACAAACTGAAAGCTAATAAAAGTACTAGTTCGGAGAGGTAGGTGAGTTCAGATTCATTAACAGTACTGATGGGTGGCAATAACACGCTTGGACTGAGTATTCCATTCATTCGTGTTCATGTTGGCCAAATGTTGGACAAACCAATCTATCGAAGTCAGTTCAACGCACTTCAGTTTGTCGTCCGAAAACCCATCGGTTCCGTGGTACTTTTATCCCCATCAAGTTGCTCAACTAGGTGCTACTCAAACGGCATGCAAATCATATGAAATAGTAGTACACTACTCAAAAGATTGCTGTTCGACGGCCCACGACCGGTTTTACCTCACCTTCTTGGAGCTGATTCATCAGGTAGGCGCAGTTTTCGAGTCACCGTCAACCTAATGTTCTACCTGAACTCAAGTTGCACGAAATTTCTGCATACCAGTGTCGCTGGGTGGCTGAACTGGAACATGGCTGGATGATGGTGTACAAATGAACCCGTAAGTCTGCAATTCAGTTTATAAAAGTACATACTGTGCTCCGACATCTAAGTAATGGTGTGGAAATCCTTGCTGACTTATTTGGAATGTCTACCGTGCAGGAAACAACGTAACGGCGAGAAAATATGGGTGATATTACAATATCAAATACCGTACAACGCAGACTATTCCTCAAAGCTGCCGAGGTAACATCTTGAACTGGCCAAAGTGACAAATTGCTCAGGAAATTCGTCTAACTGGGAGCAATCAAGTGATTCTCCTTGCAGATCATGACATTTCTTGTGGAAGTGATATCTACCCGACCTATCGGACTTGCATTTGAAGTGTATTTGGCAGGTTTATCCTATCGATCATACCACATCATTGGTTGTGACCATTGTTGGATCGTTTGACCGAACTCACGCAACACTCATTAGAAATATTGATTACGCGTGTGAGTTTATCGGTCACACAACCGAGTTGGCAGTCGGGTAACTTCACCAAAAAGCACATCCAAAACTCAATTTGACTGCAAATGTTCAGCTACCGACAGGAGGAAGCAGTGATGGTGAGGTCTTTCTTTGACACAGCTATTAAGCAGCCGATACTTTGCTGATCCTACACGTTCGTCAAATATTCGACTCCGGCAGCAAGAGTATGAAGCTTAATGCGGAGCTCAACGACTTTCCAATCGAAGACGATAAAGTGTCAGGATGCCGTGCAATTCACATTGAAAGCCAACTTAAACTTTGTACATTTTCTTTCGCTTGAGTGATGTATTGAGCACCCCGTGATGGAAAGGTGTCCTGAATGTCTCTAAGTTGAACTAGACCTGAAAAAAACGGCGCGTTTTCCAGACGTTCCTCAGTTGAAACTACATACTCACAAAGCAGTCTCGGAAACGAACTTACGTGATCACATTGCTTTCTCCTCTTTTGGAGGAACTTTGATTAATTCGGCTAATATGACTGATAATTTGTGCCTGAGTTTTGGTCCCGACCCTCCTGTTAGCTTAGAGGTGAGAGACAAACTGCCCAAGTCTTCCGAAATAGCTTCTGAGTGTTGGCGTCTTCACATGACAAGGCGTCTGTGAGGCAGAATGTCCCCATTTCAAACCCCTATCGATTAGATCGCCGACGGCAGAAGTTTCACTGTGTTCCACCGGACCGAAATGGACCATTTATAGTGTGGCCTTTCATCTCATTCACTGGACCCAGAAATTTAGACTTCCGAATACTACTGATGATGGGAACAAATTAGATTGGGATATGCACATCTGATTACTAATGTTGGGTGTGAATCATTGCATTCAGGCGAACAGGAGTTCAAATAATACTAAAGCACAGATATAGCAGAGCGATCTCCGAGATGGGCGGAAGTCAGCCTGAACGTTCCAAATGGATTGATCGCTCTTCAGTCAGCAATGGCAGAAGGCCGCGTTCACGATAGCCAAGGTCTTTAGTGCTAATCGTTTACTAGGTAAACTGGGATTTTGTTGTACTACGCAAAAGAATTGGGGATACTTTATACGTGAGAACTTTTGATAACCATCAGTTTCACTTTCCCCACAAGCCGCTAAAATGATAGGAAAACACCGCAATCCGTCAATCTGCACTATCTTTAGATTTAAACCATTCGAAACCATGTGGGGCACGACAATAAAAAAAACCATTTTTACAATTGTGCCAGATGTTTTGACGCCGCTGTCTAGTAGTTCTGGAGCGTGCATGATAGGAATTTGGATTGAGGTGTCCGTAAGCTTTATCGACCAGCATTTAGTCAGTAATCTCCGCCTTGAAATGTCTGCACATTGAACAGGCATGCTTAGTATATTTCTCAAGAACTTTCGGCTGGAGATGGGCAGTCGAACAGCACCGTGTTGGCTCTCTGCCACATCCACTTGGATAAGGAAACCCGAAGACGCAAGACACCAGATGTAGAATTGCCTAGGGTTTCCTGTCGGTTGACTGTGGACAGTGAACTCGAAGTAAGCGCAACCACCCTACTTGAATCTGGCAATGCTGTTTCGCAAATGTAGCATCGCCTATTGAGAGGTGACTGGAATGCGTGGAGGGGCATCTATTTGCTGTAAATATCGCAAGCTAAAGACTGCAATGAAGGGAGAGGAGCGACGCTGTAATAGCGTCAGGCGTATGTATCTGATCGCAGTCAGTCATTGTCGTGGGAACCCGACTGATGGGCCCAAGATGTGTTCTACAGAAGGATGATGAATTATTGGTACAGGGTAAGATTTATAAGCGAACGATGGACGAAGATGGGAGGCTTTCGCTTTCCACTTATACGTCTTGATGTACACAGCCAGTGAGACGACCCACGATACGGTATGCAGGCTGTGATAATACCGGGCCCGCAAAACATGGACAAGGGGACAAGGAAATTCCTTAACCTGAGCCTTCGGTCAAGGGACATCGGAGATTCTCCCCTAGAACTACAATGCGGCATTCAAACTTTTAGGCAGCAAGGTAGCACATGTATTCCAAACTTCAAACCGAAGAGCAAAGCGACTGTGTTTGTCAGTCTCGTATTCAGTGGGCACTGCGTAAGATTGGGGAATCGTAAAAGTAGAGATTAGAGAATTAAGGGCGAATAATAAATCGCATCACAAGGAGTTTCACCCTCTTAACTCCGGTCCATCCATCGCGCAACGCAAAGCGCTGTGAGCACACAGAGGGATTTCCACAAATTCAGTAATCCGTAACGTACGTATCACATACTATGAACTCATGTGAGCGCTAACTCCGTATTAGTACAACAACAATTGAGTCGATAGTATAACGACAATGCAACCTCCAACGATCAGATGCAACTGTGAACACAAATGCACAAGTGTAAGTGGTCGAAGACTGGAGGTCCAATGTATGAAGCAGACTTACCATATCATGCTCACCGATGGACCCCAGACTGGTGTAACTAAGCGATCGATCGGAAGTCTGAAACGTAGAATACATAATTATTTGGTTAGCCCATTGCTCAAAACAGTGTTTTGTCACTTGTGAAATTACAGAACCGGAACGTCATTACAGAAACGCCAGTAATGTACTGGACATTTAAATCCCTAGCCAACTATGCAGGAAAGGCATCTTGGAAACAGGGGCAGCTTTCTCGAGGATGTACAGTCATGTAGTGACTTGCTTTAAGACTGAAGGTCTCTCAAATAAAAGCTTCAGTCATGTGGTTTGGATTGTAGAACTCGGGCCATTATATCCCCTCTAATTGCCAGTTAGTCACACTAGTGGACAACTGTTAAGTGTTCATTTAACCACTGGCGAGAATGTTTCGCAACCGTGGAATTAATGTATGTTGGAAAAGCTGAAAAGCACTGTGTTTTATTTCCAGTAGGATGAAGGGAGAAACTCAAGGGGCATTTGAACCCACAAAGTTCCTGCCAGCAGTTGATCACTAGTGTGACTAACTTAGAAAGGACTTAGTGGCCCCAATCCTTCAATCACAGTATCCACACAACATACATTAGTTCCACGGTTTCGTCTTTGGGATGTTACTCAACCTGCGACCGACGACATGCTCTTCTTGAAGTCATCATCATCATCATCGACAGCATGACATCAGTGTTCAACACCGATGCTTCACTGCTCTTCTTGAAGGTTGGTAAGTGACGCTTCCTCGGCAAATTGAATCCCATAGTTGTAAAATTTACGGACCTCTCGCTTATTTACAACAAACATGTCGCCTACACAACGCCAAAATATGTGCAGCGAAATGTTCAAAAGACTATCCGAGAGGTCACTGGTTCGCAACTCTGCTGGAACGGCTGTACACTGCTTCACGGTTTCTTCAGCATAGACTGACCTCGCGTACAGGATGAAATCTCCGTTGGGTGTTCTTTGCCTGAAACCCACTCCTTTGACTCTGGATAAGCCCAGGGAACTAGGTTCACGATGTTGACTGGATGTGCAGTTCCCTTTCAACGGCGAGTTGTGTACACGTGTGGACGGAATAGTAATGGTTAACAGACTGTGCTTCTTGGATGCACTATTAAGCAGATCAAAACAGGGACGAACACAACAAAGTATTCTACGCAACTGGCGAGTATGCTCTTTTTCTACGGTCTCGTGCTGGTTCAGCTCAAACAAAAATCTGTTGGACTGTCCAGATGGGGTTATGCAAATAGAATAGCTGAAAACAGACTGGATTTCCTCAGAAACATGTTTCAGAGAAAAAAGTATTTCGAGGGACACGCGACATCATGGATGCATGAAGTACCGAGACAACCTGTTCCCCTTTCAACGGTGAGCCAATGTATGAAGTACTTAGGAAAAAAACATTGAACGAACACTCTCCGCAGGCCATCTACAAGTGTCTTCTTCAAGCCATCCAGTAGTCAGACTGGAATTCATAATTTAATCGTTCAGCTGTAACACCCTTCCGATGCCTAGCTGCTGTGCCACCCGAACGAAGTATGAGGGCTGGGTTACTGCAAGGTTGCCCAGACCTATACAGCGGAAGTCAAGAGGCAGAGGTCGGGTTCGAACCACAGATCTTCCGGTCAGTAAATTCGTGCTCTAACCACTTGGGCCATCTCCGCCCCCCTCGAGCCACCTCGCTCCCCCCAGAGACTAATCCGCCGATGTGAATGGATCAAGTTGCCTTCTCATGTGGAGGGAACTATATTGGGCAATCAGCGTGACAACTATTCAGACAAAGGTCTGGCTATCATCCAAGTGGTTTTCAGGAAAAAATCATTCAGCTGTAAGCTCAAACAGTTCTGGGATATGAACAGATTACTTCTTATTTTTGGGAGGCTACAAGGTCACAAGGTTACTTACAAGCCTCACATCACTCAAAGTACGAATCTATTTGGCTGTTCAAACGTGATGCTTCATTTGCGTCCTGCATACCCTGTTGAAGTAGTGGAATTACGTCTGTCCTAAGTTCGAACCCGGTGCGGCCGGAGACATGTACTCGTGATGAGCTCTACTAAGATCATCATCGGCTCATCAGCTGTAAAAACCGCGTGCTTGTCGTACAGTAGTCGTAACTGCCACAGTTTCATTCACCGATGATTTGGGGAGCTGGGGTAGGAGTTGATAAATTGGCGTGTATGTTCAGGACTGCTAAGTGGGGCAATGCGGAAGGCAATAGCATTGAAGGCAATAGCTTGGATGCACGGCCCCTTTAGGGGGCGCGACTGGGCCATGTCTGATAGTGTCTTTAACCATTGATATGGCCCGTTTCGGGGTCCCCATCCAGGAGGACAGCAACGACCAGCGTAGCTGAGTTTGTTGGTAATGGCTGCCAAGTCATTGTTTGAGTGCCTGTGCTGGTTTCCACCCTTTTCATGGCTCTGCGAAAGGGAGTTGGTCAACTGGCATACGGAGCACGTGGAGAGTTGGTCAACGGGCATACGGAGCACGTGGCTAAGTCAGCAGAATCTGTGGACTAAGCAAAATGATTTGTACAAAGCAAGATGAGGACCATTCAGTCTGGAGTCATGTGGATGTACATTCTGTCATCAGCCCAACAGCCAATATTCTTGTAATGAAAACAGTATTTGAATGTTAAATGTAGAAAAAGGATGGTAATATTCCTTGAACTTACCACCTGATCTTCTGTGAGTGGAGAGTATTTGGAAGGGTTATCGAGTAAACACAGTCGAGCGGGCAGTCCGATGGTCAGTTTGTGGGAGGCCCCGGTGCAATACCATCTCCTCACCACGTTCATCAGTGGCTCGTGATCTTCAATGGCGTGAGCTGTGAGCGGTCAGATTTGTGGACAAGAAAGAGATGGAATTTCGGCAAATTGTGCGAGAGGTGTAATGATGAGCAGTCGACTACCGGGAAAATAAGCATATAACAATGCAAGATTTTCCCTGATAAAGTGACCCATACATAGAAACCAGTAGGTTCCAAAAAGGGCGAAACCATTCGTGGACTGTCGACGAATTTTCAGCAACCTTATAAGTAGTGTATTACATCTACACATTTATCGCGATATATCGAATATCGTAACAATTGAAACATGAGGTGACCTGGTGCAGCACAGTCAGTTGCTTGCTAATATCATAAACAACAGACTTGGTTGGGTTCTAGGTGAGTCTCTCGAAAACAAAATTTGTTTGCAAATGAGTGTATTTCGTTAACTTTGTGCAATTAGGTCTCAATTAGAACGTAAGTTGACAGAAACTCGGGAACTGCGCCTAGCTGATGTGCTACACGAAAGTCGAAACCGGTTAGGGGCTGTCGAATAATTTTCAGCAACCTTGTGATCAGTTTCCTCTATGAAAACTTGAAGCAATTTCCAAGTATGATGAAGGGTGACTGAAAACAGCTGGATTCTGAAGGTGCTCTGTACTAAACTTCGAGGCCAATGTGCAATTTATTGCCACCCATGGCTCACTACTGAAGGTGCAACATGAGTTGTGATATTTGAGTGGGTTGAATTCCCTATAACACGGTTTGTTAGCGAGAGGGATTTTCGTCACTACTTCTACCTTTACGCACGGCCGTCGCCTGAAGAAGGCACTTCCTAAGACAGACAAAAACTGCCACAGTACCCCGATCCGGCTAGCTGTCCCGTTGGCCTCGGAAACCGCGATGGAATCCATAGCGAGAGAGAAGGATGAAACGATGGGTAATGATCGTACCTACGGAAGGAACCCAGACGTGGCTAGTGTTCGAATTCAGCTACGATCGCGGTGGAAAATTGAAAGTTAGGCGTTTTACCGTTCTACTAACTGTGACTAGAAAACAGGAAAAAACATTCATTTTGTGGTATCCTCGCAGGTGCTCGGTGAAATAAAAGCTACTCAACGTGAGTACGAACATTTTGGAATATTCCTTCAGATAATGCTCAAAGTAGGTTTTGTAGCTTGGTCGAGTCGACGACTGCTGTCTCTCTGAATGACGACCTCAGGACTCAGAGCACCAATGGTCAACACCACTAGCAGAAACGGCACGATTGCGCAGTCAACGGCGCTTATGCATCAGAGCTATCGCCTTCAATACGTAGCTGCGTAATTTCTCGAATTGACCAAACCTGCCGTCGCCTTAAAGGCTTGGCTGTATATCCTGTACCCTTCCACTTTCCGGTATAGCAGCTGGAACAAGTGTGCCTATGGTGTAAGGTCTATAGCTGATAAACTGATTTATTGAACTTTTGTCGCTGGTTGAGAATGGCGGCTTGATGCACTCAGGCGTCACGCGTCCAATCCTGAAACTTTATTTCCGCAAAAGACCAGAGTTTCCTGCTGGGGAGGCTTGTCTTACACGAGAAACGCTCAAGGTAGGTACAACCACGTACTCTGTCTTCAGTGCTTTGGAATGGTCGTCTCTGTTCATTGCATTATGTCTAAAACCATCACACGTCAGCCAAGCACCCTTCACCCACACGGTAAGCCCTATTCGACTTTCGATGGCAACTCACACACGAACAGGTTCACATACAACTGCACATGGATTGTCGTTGTATAGAAATTATAAAGTTTCTACTCAAGGAGACGATCATTCTACCTTCCTACTTGGTTCGAAATAGGGCTGTTACGAAGGCTTGTTAGGTGGTAAATCAACTTTTTATCGATTGCAATTTGTGCCACTTGGGGATCAAAAAATCTGCAAAATTTCAATCACCACAAGATGAAGTAATTGAACCCCTGATTTCCGCGTTTGTGGCACGGAACTAACAACCACAAGGTCTCCTGTTTTGATCTTCGCTGAGAATCCGTTGACGATGGAAGTGTCACTTTTGCGCTATGACTTTATAAAAATGGAAACCTTGGTTCGGTTTCAACTCGCAAAACAAACAACGATTACTTGATAATGGTGCTACTTCCAATGTCTTCGTAGTGTGTGCCAGGAAGAAAATTGATACACGTGGTTGTGAGTTGGCTCAAGTGGTTAGAGCGCGAACTTCCCCTGTCTAGGCTTGGGCAACCTGGCAGTATCCCAGCCCTCGTGCTCCCTTCAAGTGGCATGACAGTTAGGCACCAGAAGGGTGGTAAACAATATTTGCCCAGCTTTTCAGAACTCTGCTCTGAACTCGAGTAATCTGATTGAAACCACGCAGTTGCAGGCTATTCACGTCAAGGTCCAAAGCTGATCACAGACGAACACACATGAAGTTTTCGATCAGAATTTTTCAGCAGGTCAAAGTCGAATGCGCCCAAAATGACAAGAAACACACTCATTGAAATACGCGACACACCACTTCGTGTTCTGAGATTGATCAATGCAATATTACAGCGAAAGTTTGCAACCCCGTTGTTTTTAACTTCAACAGCGGACGATTCGACGCGGTCCACTTAATGATTCCATGATATCTCGTGCAAAAAAAACGGATAGAAACATCACCAGCTGATAGTATATTTGATTGCCATAAATAAGCGTTCTGGTTTGTCTGACAAAGCGAACTCGAGATGGCTCGGTAATTAGGGCGGAAGTTCCATCGTTTGAACGCGACATCGACCGCCCCTGTCTAGGCCTGAGCAACCGGTAGTTTCTCGGCCCTTACGCCTCACTCGGGTAGACTGGCTACTATCCGCCGAGAGGAACCATTTTGTTTGACACAGCAGGACTTGTACACTTGGATGTAAACATGTTTGGAACTGCACTAAAATCCAACCGTGAATGTAGTTGAGATGAGGCTACATGTTGTAGATTGGCCATTTACTGATTCGATCCTCAATCACAGAATACTTACTCCCGTCAGCCTGCTACTTTTTGGCAAATGCGATCAACTCGAGAAAGTCAACAGAACAACGCATAATTTACTAAATCGATGCCTGTGATTCCATCTTTGCTGTCCAAAGTTCAACTGAACTTTGATTTGTTATCAGAATTATAGCACAAACACTTCTGCCTTGGTGTCAGACTTACCAAATCCAGGCAAATCCGGAATTTCTTCATAAATTTGTACAAAACGAAGATCGATTTCCGGGTCGATCATTCGGCACGCGTCGCCCGCGCTGGTAAATGGATCGATTCTGACGGTAGTCGAACAGCCATGTCGGTCGTGAATGGCTACTTCCATGCTTTCATTAACCTACATTTCAACCGAAACGAAAATATGAGTGGATCAGTGAGCTCAAAAAAAAACTCTCGAATGTGACATTACTGTTTCTGATCAAGTGCCGTGTCAATCAAGTTCAGATGTAGGGCTTTACAAAATCGAATAAAAGTAGGAAGGTGGTAGCTAGGTTTCTTATTCCAGTACAAGGACAGAATGTGCGTTCGGTGGGCTAAATTGAAGATGTCAACGTGCTGACATTTGTAATATATCAGGAATTGGCTTTCACCGAATGAAAATGGTACGATGTCCGTTTGCATGCGAATGTCAAAAGCTGGGCAACTCACGGATGAATCAATTACCGAGTCATTCCATTATCATGAATGATAACTAGAAGAGCAATTTTAGATCCCGCCTCTCTGAGACCAAGAGGCAAGGTCGAGAAAACACCGAAAAAGAAAAAGTGGTGATGAAAGCGTCATTATGACCGAAATCTGAGCGATACGTTTTAGTAAGAGCTTGTATGGGAAAATTCGTCGCAGAAACTCATTTGTAGTGGAGTTCAGCTCTACAGGTGACTGTAGTTTGCGGATCATCCAGTATTCGTTTGCCCGTTCTGTGGCTCATTGCTTTCTACGGTGAGTGTGCCACTTTTCTGACTACAGTGGATGGTACGACTCGACAAACGTCAATAATCGAAGTGTTCTGAAACCACCCAGCTGCCAGAAGCAGACAGAGGCTCTGTAGTCTAACAAGGGGCTCGCAAAATTTTACTTGCATTTTGAACTCAAACTACGATATAGTGAATATTTTTCGTAAAAAATTGTGTTGTAAAATCACGACTGTATGCGAGAGTTGTGCGGTGAACTTGGAGTTACTTTACGCAGGTAACATTTCTCATCTGTCACTCACGGTGGAAGGGTAAGAGGTCAGTAGTAAGCTTCTTAGTTGGCCATCATAAAGTTTTTCTAAGCTGTACATTTCCCTTTACTGGAGCCCGACGTTCACACATCAAAGGCGACGTTTTATTCAACCGTCTAGGACCTGAAGGTCCACGGGATGGAAAACATGTCTAGACGCCCCTTGGCAAGAAGAATTAAGCTGACAAACTGATCATCATCACCATCATCAACATTGGCAGTAACGTCGGACAAAAACACGCCTTATGTTGAAAACAAGAAAAAAAAATACACGGGATGGAAAACATGTCTAGACGCCCCTTGGCAAGAAGAATTAAGCTGACAAACTGATCATCATCACCATCAATCAACATTGCAGTAACGTCGGACAAAAACACGCCTTATGTTGAAAACAAGAAAAAAAAATACGGTGATGAGGGCCTGGAGCTTGCCCTCCAAAAACATCTGAGGTGCCTACACCTCCAACACATAGTCACACAATCTGGATAAAGCCTGACAACATGAAAGCAGCTAGCATCAATTAGCCACCCTATTGCCCAATGTCTCCAGCCAAACACAGGGGGCCACGTGGGTTCTACAGTCGTAAAAACAAACAGCACTTAGGCCACCCAGACTTTTCGAAGCACCCTTCGTTTACTCCTGCTATGTCATGTCATCTCCACTTCTAGGTTTCCTCCACTTCGAACTAAAAAGTCGTTCAGCTGTAGCACCCCTTCGGTGCCTAGTGGCCATGCCACCCGAAAGAAGCACAAGGGCTGGGACACTGTCAGGTTACCCAAGCCTAGACAGGGGAAGTCGAAATGCAGAAGTCGGGTTCAAACCCCGGACCTTCCGTTCAGTAAATTCGCGCTCTAACCACTGAGCCACCTCACCACCTATGCATTAAAAACACTTTCTGGGCGAAGATGAATTCGCCATGTGTGACACATCGCTAAACCGAGTTTGCGTACAAATGCACTCCTTCATTGAAGTATCTATTTCTCCCCCCAAAGACCCAGTACTTATCAATTCATTTCAAAATCACCTAGTTCAATCAATCACAGCTTGACTCTGAAACAACGATCATTCACGAGCTGAATATGGCACAGATTGTCAGCCGGCAGCTGTACAACAATACGACCGTTGAGGTCCGCCGACATGTCTTTTTGACGCCTCAAATAACTCAGGTTGGCAAAAGCAATTAAGACCTTTGCGACTTGACTTCGTCTGTCACATTACCGTCAGAGATTGATGCAACTTGGGATGTCTGTCTGCAACGGTCAGTAGCATCCTGTATCTGACCAGCCGGCAGGTTCGACTTCTGAGTCCATGAGCTTCTCACTGACTAGGTGAGGGGCACGAGTCTCACGTGGACTTGAAAAGTGCATTGAAAAACAGCATCGGACAAGTGTATGGTCGGCGTCCATGCAGGTAGACCAGAAGGAGGGGAGGCAGTCACCACCACCCACCCCACCGATGAATGGATTCGGGGCTGGTTCAATGGTTGGCAGCACTTAATCAAAAGATTTTCCGTGTTCCGGTAATTGATGCTGTTAAGGAACACTCTGTGATCGGCACACATCTGAAGCTGTCCGTGTCTAATCCAAGACGATCACCCCATTGGGCCTCAGGAGCACTTAGTCTACCTACCTGAGCGTTCATGTTACCAGTAAACATTACTATGTCTGAGCTTTCAGCCCGTTGTAAAAGAGCCCCTAGAGCGTCATGGAAACTGTCTCTAGCAGATCAAATAATGCAGTCCGTTAGGGCGTAAGCAGACACAATGAATAATGTGCGATGGAAGTCACATTCTCGAAACGGTTTTACAGACGTTGGCCGATGAACCACGCGGTAGCGCTGTCAATGGGTTTCGCTGAATGCGCGAACACAATATCCAACCCAAGTAACTTCTTCGTCATCAATTCGCTCAGCCAGAAGGTGTGAGAAAGCGAGGAACCAGTCAATTCAATCACAGTACTTGCCCTGTACCCTTTTTT